CGTCGTCCTGTTTCACGGCTCGTAATTATTCCTAGGACCCAGGTTGCGAACCCGCGAACCGAGCCTCGCGAGAAATCGTATCTTCCGAAGAAAATGGGCCTCCTCCTAACTGAGTAGACTTCTTCTTCAAATCTTCCACATTTTTATTCTCCCCGCTCGTCACGACGCGGACCAAGGCAGCAATGCACGATTCGACAACGTAACCGTGAAAATAACAGGTTCTTAATTTTCGAGGCAGCCAGAAGCCGACAGCCACGAGCAAACCGGATCGCCGTGCCGAGGTTTGTTTAATACCTGCGTAATTTGAGCTCATTTCACCGAAGATGGATAGCTGTCTGACTGCAGAGCAGAACCTGCGTGTCTCCTGGCAAAAATTGATTAATTGTCGCGCTCGTTCGCGATGTAAAATCTTTTTAACACTGTGTCCTTGGATTTATCTACCCTTCAATCGAGAAAATGCTGCCATTATTGAAGACAGAAAAAAATTTAAAAAAATTAAAACAGATTTCTGATCGGATAGGCTAGGATTAAATAAATAATAGATTTCTAATCGACATCCTTCGTAGACAATCTTCTAAACTTTTCCACAAGTTTCGATCTTCGAGCTGTCAAAGAAATCCAAACAGATCCGGAGCATCGGAGAATTTTCATCACGAGAGATACTGGCCCGGCTGCTCCACACCAGAGAGTCAATTTAAGCAGCAAAACGAAGGAAGATCGCCACGATAATTAGCCACGGCGTGTTTTTCGTCGCGAGTCGCGCTCGTGTTTCGAACGGCGGGGACACGACGAAACGTTTACGGAAGTGGGTACCGAGCGGACGGCGTTTCGCGCGGTGAAATTTTTGGAGGGACGCCAGTCCAATGCCGGATGTGGATGGAGCTTAAAGGCTGAGAAACCTGGCCGCTTTCAGGGAGCAACGTCCTACCTTCTCTTCGAATATAGTCGTACGTAGAGTGAAGCTGGTGTAGAGAAGGCGCGGACGACGGAACAACAGGGAGAGAACCGGCGAATGGACAAGGAGAAGAGACCAGCAGGAGTTGTTCCGTCGTGGTTTAAAGGAAAGGCGAGAGAACGTATAGCACGGAGAGGGCTCCTCCAACAGGAGCCCGTCTACCCATCGAAGGGTCGAACTGTCACGATCGTGAGAAGATCTTTGTCCCCGCTCGCGTTCTCCTCTACCGGTCGTGATCTCTTTTCTTGTGCACTCGCTTGGTGATCGACGACAGCCACTCCGAGAGACCAAAAGACGATGTTCGGCATGGAGAAATCGCATTGCGAACGGTTTTCGTCGGCTACTTTCGCCGAATAATCCCCGAGCCAGATAGCCTTTCGTAGGATCTTACGCGCGGTCTGGCTGAGATACGCGGCAAAGGCTCGGTCTAATTTACAAGATCCTGTTCGGTGAACGCGATACTACCTTTAAAAAGCGCTTTGAGCGCTTTCGATAGTGGTTTTTTTTTTTTTTTTTTTTACGTAAAGATGAATTTTCCGTTCCGATGCTCGATAATGTTCGAGTTAAAATTAATAGGAATTTGGTCGCCGGAATCTTTTCACGTCTCTGTTTCCCTTTAATTTCAACCGTGAAGAAAAGACCTTCCAGTCGTTGGAAAATACGATTCGATTGAAAACGGCTCAAAGGGCCGTCTAGTGAAGGTTCTCGAGGCTTTGGTCTTTCGTACTTTGAGTTCGTATTTTCTGAAATGTACAAAGAACGAAGGATCTGAAATAGCTCTGGTAACGACCTCACCGGGAGACTGAAAGGTCTCCCTTACGATAACATCGAAAAGTTTGATTTGAAATTTGATTTGAAAAGTGCAAATCATAATTGATAAAGAGAAACTTTCCTGTAAAATATATCGCCAATATATTTTCCGAGGATTGGAAATATAAGAAAAAAAATATATATAAATATATATACATTTCCTGAGAGAAAGAAAGAAAGACTCGAAGAGAAACGTTTCTTCGAGGTAATTTGCATGTCTCCGAAAATAGGCCCGACTGACAGAACGGAATTGCCGCGAAATACGAACGACACGAATGAACGTGAATCACGTGAGACAGGTACGGGAGACGGTGATTGCTTTCAGCCGGTTGTTTCTTATCGCGACGCTGCCAGGGTACCTGGCTACCTGCCTAAATCTGTTATTAAATCGAGCATTAAAACAAGTGACTGTTCGCCGTGATTTCTTACAACGAATCAGCGAAAGGTAAAGAGCGTAAAGTAATTCTCGGCGTAATTGGAAGACAAGTTCCCGCGGAGATACGCGAGATGAGTGTACGGCAAAGTAGGCTAGAGAGATAAAATTTTAATCACTTAGCCTCGTCGAGAGGTCGAAGGTCCTTCTGCCCCCGAATTACAAGTGTTCTCTGGTATTTTAAACTCTTTCTGGAGACTAGAAGCCTCCGGCTTATCTCACCCCGGCTAGAAACTACGTTTCCCCTTGCTTTCGTACTTCTCGCGTCTCTAGACACTCGTTTTCGCGCCAACGATCATTATCCGAAGCAATTTTCATCGTCCCGACGATTCATCCCGACGATTCCTCGAATTCGATCGACGAGAATTCCATCGACGTGAATGTGGGAGAGGATGATGGGGAGGAAAGAAAAAAAAAAAAAAACGGAGCCGACGAGAGGGAACGCGAAGGAACGGCTCGTGTTGCGTCTCGTCGGTGGATCGATCGGTCGCCAGCCGGTCGAAATCTCGTTGTTGCCGCGAAATCGATTCATCTCGAGACGCTGAAGAACACACCGGGATCGCTTTCAGCCTTGCAAAAAGGTGGCCTGTAAACAGCTGCGGCTGATGAGAAAGCCTCCACTCTCTGTTGCGCTGAAACCTTACCAGGCGATTCGAACCAGATAACTCTCAGACCGCCTTTGGCCAAGTTCGCCAAAAAAGACCAACGACCTCAGGTGTTCAATCCCTTTCGACAACAAATCGCGGACGTGTACTTGGAATCTCGTCTAGTCAAATCGTCGGTTCTTCCTTCAAATTATATACGAAAATTTAGAAATAAAACGCACGTTGGACTGTGAATCTGAAAGTTTGTTCGACAGTGACGACTGAAGTCATTGCGCGCTGGTACGCGCGTAGTTAGCAAGGGTTGATCGATCGTTTCCGATCGTCAGACGTCCTTTCAAAAACATCTCGACGAGAGGCTAGTCCACGGCCAGACTGGACCCTCGATACCGATTGGTAATTGTATCGAGGCTCGCGGACCGCCTGGTCCATCGGGGATGCATCATCGCGACGCCGTTCGTCGAGGGCCACGCACACGCCTGAACGCTGTAACTAGCGAACAATGCAAACAATCGATGCACCGTCGCGATTCATCTGCATTCAATCCGCCGTCGGTTCCTGAATTATTGTTCTCCGATGATCGATCCACCGCTCTCTCGATGCAATCCAGCGCTCGAACCAACATGTTGCAACCGTTTTTGGCCCTCTGCGACTCTTCCCTCTTCGAGTTTCGCCCCTTCTCTCTCTCCCTCTCTCTCTCTCTCTCTTTCGACAACCGGCCAAGATTTGCCCGGATAGCGAAGCAGGAGGGGAGGAGCGCACACAATTGCGGGACTGGACGAACGCGGACCAACAACTCGCCCGACGAGATCGAATCTCAAGAAATTCTACGGGAATCCATTGCCATATTCGTTGCTCCCTCTCCTTTCCGGCGGACGTCGAGTGTCCCTCTTGGCACGTAATCACGCCTCGCGGAACGAGAATCGCGTACACGTAGCCACGAATTCGGCTCAACGTTCTTATAACTTCGTGTGGTGTGATTACACGTTTCTCCGCGAAGCGGACGAAGGTTTTCGATCTCCGCGGTTGCGGAGAGCAGCGGTGTGTTGCCCCGACGCGGTAATTGCTTGTGCAACGAAGATTTATCGTGTCGAACGTACTTGACTTCAATTACGAGCGAGCAAGACGAGCTCAGTACGAGTAGTAGTTTCAATTGAAGGTGGCCAGATTCTTCGGCTTGGCGGTGCCACGGGTCAACCAACTCGCCGCTGCGCGTATTGCTAGCTACTCTGCAGCTTTGCTCGGCTTCTCGAGTGTTATTTTTTACGTAGTTCGAATGTGCTTCTCTGCTTGAATTTTTACGTAGTTAGTGGACTATAGTGTTAGTAGACTATTCTGAAAGCATTCGTTATCGCGTGGACTTTGATGAGGATGCAGCGACATAGATACTTGTCGCTTAACGTTTAATATCGGAAATAAAATTTTTATTCCGACCCTGTTTCTTTAATCGTGTTCACGAAAATGTCTGCTCGTTGTATGTATTTTACAAACTCTCGAGTTTCTTCAATCGTGTTCTTCCACGAAGTTGCCTAATTGTCACACCGTGGATTTTTATGAGGATGCAATGATGTAGATACTTGTCGGGAATAAATTTTTATTTCAGTCCTTACGAAAATATCTACTCGTTGTAGTACTTGATGGACGAAGTAATTTAAACTCTTGAGATTAAACGAAACTCTCAAGTTTCTTTAATCGTGTTCTAGGAAGTTGCCTACTAGGAAGTTGTCACGCCGTGGACTTTTATAGAGGATATAGCAAGAACGTAAATACTTTATTATTTCGCAACGCGTTTAACAGCGTTTAACAGAAATAAATTTCTACTTCGGCCCTGTTACTTTAATCGTGTCCGCGAAAAATGTCCACTTTAGAGTTAGACGATAATAACTCTCATGTTTCTTCAATCGTGTTCTACGAATTTGCCTAGAGATCCGCAGTCCAGAGCCATTAGGGAGTCGCGACACGCGACTGCAAGCACTGCAGTCGATAAATAATTCTTGCCGGTATCTGTAGACGAGACTAAACAGTCGCCGATCGCCTGAATTATCCACGAGCCGATAGCACGAGACCGTGTCGACGATTCCTCCTGGCTAAGAAACTGACGGCGTCCCCGCCAGCTGAACCCGGTCGCGTGACTCTTTTTCTGACCAGTGTGTTTTCTACGATGGATAAGAGGCGCTCACGCGCGCGCGTCGATGTTCCGTCATCGAAAGGGGTGAAAAGCGGTTTCAGGTGGTTGGTCGTGACGAGTATACTCACCGGTACGATATCCTGCGTTGCTCAGGTAAGCGGCGAACGAGTGCGGCTCGTGATCCCGTTGCCACTGGGGGCTGCTGCAGTTGTCGTTGTTCGTAAAGACCTCGTGATTGTGAACGTAACGGCCGGTCAGCAAGGAGCTCCTGCTCGGACAACACATAGGAGTGGTCACGTACGCGTGTCTCAGCTCGGCTCCCTCGTCCCTTATTCGCCTTAGGGTCCGTGGCATGAAGTTCAGCGAACCTGAGGGATTGGACCAACCGCAACACACGATCAGAAGGAGCGTTCGACAGAGAGCTCTTCGGGCGAGGATCGAAGGATAGATAGGGGGGAATCTTTCTTCCACCAGAGGGAAGCCAGGCTCCGTCGCGATTGAATCTGATTCTTTTTCTTTCTTTTTTTTTTTTTTTTTTCTTTCTAGTACAGTTGTTTCTCTCTTCTTTGCGTCGGATTTAAATCTGTTAAATTTGTTGAGCGAGGAAGGTTAAATCTGAGGGTTTGATCAGTTAGATCCGATACCTTCCAGCTGTGAAAATAGACACGATTATTGGCGTGATATAGTTTCACGCGGTACCATTTGCCATTAACGGAAAATGGAGATAAAAGAACGATAGCGCTCGGTGATTCCGTCACTGAGGAAACGAACAAGAGTTATGGTAGCGATAACAGGTAGAAACGCGTAGGAACAATGAGTCACGGTTTACAAAACAACGTGTCAAAGAAACTGTTCGCGTAGGCCTGGCTCGCGAAAGAAGAGAAAGTAGCGACAGGTAGAGACGTGAAAGAGAAGTGAAACTAACCGAGTTCTACATCTTGATCGTCCGTCAGAATCAGCACTATGTTGGGCTTCCTCTCTCTCGGCTGCTGGTACGGCAGATAGGGCGAGTTTGACTGCGAATTGTAATTGTTGTTGCCGCCGTTGTAATTAGACTTGTGAAGGGGACCACCACGACGCTGGCCGCCGCCGTAAACGTCATCGACAGGGATGTCCGCGTCCGTTCGCCTGGCATTGACACCCAGCAACAACAGCAACGCCAAAAACTGCAGTAACTTCCTCATGGTGGTTGGTCGTCGGTTGCACGCTCTTCCTCTCAATCGAGTGTCATATCATGGCGGTCGGTTGCTGTAACAAGCGGGGCGTGTCTTACGTTAATGAACAGTTTTGCCTGTGACGTTGATTGGACGGAAAGTCGATAAGTCTTTTGTGTAGTCTAGTGTGATTGCGCTGCAAAGGCATCGGGCCCCTGTGCGTAAACCCCTTTCTTGTTCTTTCCTTCTGTCAATTAATTTTCTTTCCCTCTTTTGACGACGATCGCTCGGTCGGCGGTTTAGAATCCCCATCGAAAACCACGGATATCCAATCGAGCATTATCGTTCGTTGGGAATTAATCGTCGATCCGCGACCACTTTCCCCTGTACAGTGGGCTAGGAGTGTTATTAAACGACAGCCTCCAGCGATTTCGATCGATTCGGGATCGGGTTTCGAGTCCCATCTAGCCGACAGTCTCTCTCTCTCTCTCTCTCTTTGATAATTCAAAATTTAAATTAAAAAAAAAAAAA